GCTCAGCGGCTAACCGAGTCTCGAGTTCCTCAATTTTCTTAGCTCGGGCCAAGCTCTTCTCTTTCATACATTGGAGTTGATGCTCAGCCAAAGATAGCTGGGCTCGAGCAGTATCTTTCTTCGATGCGAGACGGTCCATGTTCTGCTTCCACCCCAAAGTCTCTGCCTCTTTCATCTTAGCTTCCTCGCAAAGCTGCTCGATCTTTTTGGACTTCTGCTGAACCTGCATGATCAAAATATTAGTCGCCATCCCCGAATCGACACACCAAACTTCTAAGAAAATTCTTCATTACCTGCTCGATCAAGTCAATCTGCTCTTTGTGAGCTTTGGCTAGTTCAGCTCGGAGGTCCTTGATCTCCTCTTATTTTTTCCCACTGAAGAGTTTGAGGGCATCTCTCTCCTACGTGAGCCTTTTGAGATCAGCCTCACACTAGTTCAGCTCGGCTTGGTATTTGGAAAACGCTTCCCAATGAAGAGTCACGGCGTATGGAGAAAGGAAGGAAATCAGGCAAATGGAAATAAACGCAAATGTAAAACTAATAACGGGGGCTGAAATCTACCTGGTCCAGGCATCGCTAAGCCTCATCGAAAATGATCGATGCATCCAGATGGGAAACATCATCGATCCCGTGAAGCAGCCATGGAATAAATCATCCCCTTCGTGGGCCGTTCCCACATCAGGGGTCTCTATAGCCTGGGCCTCTTGAATTTGCCCCGCAAAAACTGTGGGGAGGGGCGGCGAATCATCAATGTTGATTTCCCCAAGCAAGAAACTTAGGGCGCTCTCTCCTTCTCGGAGGGCCTCGGAACCGGACCCTTCAGGCATACCCACCGATTGTTCGTCACGGCGGACAGGTACACTCGCCGATTGTTTGTCACGGTGGGAGACATCTTCAGCCTCCGATGACTCCGGGACTTTGCTCGGAGCATCTTCCGAGATCTCCTCGGTTCGAAGATGAGCCTCCTTGATCATCACCGGCTCGGCTGCCTTTGAAACTTCGGTGCTCCCCCTCTTTCGAGCCACCAGCTCATAGTCATCATCTTCTTTCTCCTTCTCTTCATCTCATAGTTTCTGGGATATGTCGGTAGGCAGCGCGGCGGTGTCATTCTTCGTCTTATGAGCCTTGCTCTTTTTAGGATTTGGAGTATCGGAAGGCGAGACCCTTCTCCTTTTCTTATCCTTAGCCGGTTTCGGTGCCTCCTCTTCCCAGGTAGGGGCGACCTCATGAAAACATTGTCCTCGAGACCTGTATGGGGGTAAATCAAGTAAAAATAAAAAGAGACGTTTCACATAAGGTCATCAAACATGGATAGAGAAGCTTACCGTTATTTTTGGCCTCCCATCGGCCCTTGCCAAATCGCACCACGAGCGCACAGCATACGAAGAGGTTGAGGCCAGTTTGTACTTACGCTTCATGTTCCAGTTTTTAGGGAAAGGCATCTTCTCAGTCGGAATTATGTCGGAAGTCCTCACTCGGATAAACCGGCCCATCCATCCTTGGTTCTTGTCCTCATCTATGCTCGAGAACAACACCTTGGTAGCCCGACGCTGAAGCCTTATTAGTCCTCCTTGATAAAGACGGGGGGTGTACATTCTAATGAGATGATCGAGGGCAAAAGGCATCCCCTCGACTTTGCTCACGAAGAACCGAAGTAAAATAACAATGCGATAGAAGGAAGGATGGATCTGGCCCAGGGTTATTTGATATTGGCGGCAGAAATCGAGGATAATGGGGTCAATGGGACCCAGTGTAAAAGCATAAGTGTAAAAACTCAAGAACCCTTTCACGTGGGTGGTGATGTCCTCTTTGGGGGTCGGAATCACCACCTCTTTTCCTTCCCAGTGGCAATCATTTTTCACCTGCTTCAGCTCACCCTCAGTTATCGAGCATATATATCTCGACATCGGCTCACATCAGCCAGGGACCAACGAGGTTTCCTCAATCTTGAAATCGGAAGTGAGATCGCATGCCCCGGGAACGCACTCCTCGATGCGTGGTTTCACCGGCGTTTATCGCCGGCCGACCGTGATGAAGAAGCTTTCTTTTTTGGGGAACGATTTTTGATGTTTTGGCCATTTTGGTATAGATTCAGAAAAGGAAGAAGACGAGATTTATAGTTTTGAAGAAAGATTGGTAACGAGGCCTAGAAATTGTGCAAGAGCGGAGAGGCTAAATAAGATGCGAAGAGCTTTGGAGACTTGCAGAAAAACTTGAAACACTCAGAAGGATTCTTAACATTAGTACAAGAAAATTTCAAAGTAAAGTTTAAAGAAGTAAGAAGAAGACCTATTTAAGGATTTACGACGACGGTTCAAGAGCACTAGTAGCCGACCATCAACTGATGCTAATTAATGATCTTGGGAACCGTACCGACGCGACGCCTCGGTCTTTTCTGTCGCTTACGTCATAAGAATGATGTCATAATTGGTCGAAGTATAAAATTGAAGACTCAGTTCGTTTCTTCTCATTACACTCCAAGAAACGAGGGGACAATATGTATACGGTAAAATTGAGCCTGCCCGATTTTTCTATTTAATCGAGTTCAGGGGATCACGTCGAGTGCTCGCAATGGATCGGGATATAGCACGAAGATGAGGTGTTGAGTTCAGAATCGAGATGTCCATCGAGACAGAGGCCAGCAACAATTGGGACTAAGCATGACCGACTTCGAGTGAAGTGCAATAACGGAAAGGCGAGATATCTGTAACCGGACGAAGATCACGGCGGAAATCCCAGAACAGATCAAATCAAGGGCGGTTATTTGTACCAATCATGGGATTTACTTCCGTAATTAGAATTGTATCATAATTAGGATTCTTCTAGTATATAAAGGGGAATCCCTATCATTTGTAAGGACTACATTCGCGAATATCTCAAAAATATAATATTTCTTTCTTTTGCATGCTCTTTAATTGTTCTTACTCTACCAAGCTCGAGGGTTCATTAGCTCGAGGGCATTGACCAAACACCGGTTTGCTTTGTATTATTGTCAATTTTGCATCATTTATTTTTACGTTTATCAATTGATATTAGTTAAAATCACATATTTTAGGGTAAACACTATAAAATTCTTTGACAAAGGTTTGTGTAAGCATATTTGAATCTAAGTATGAAATACACATTCATAATTTTACCATATTTTCTGATCCTTTGTCGTCTCTATAAAAAGAGAAGATTTATTCACTAGCAAATGTTCATCTTCTTTAAGAGTGAGGCCGTGGTTCAAAACAAAAGAAATACAAAGAAGACAAATTTAAATCAACTCACACAAATTTTATGTTAAACAACAACAAAATAAGAAAAATGGTCTTACTTTTATTGGGAAAAATCAAGTTAACATATGGAATTAATTATGTGCTGACATGTCAAGACACCTGGATCAATAAAAGAATGACATCTGTCAAAGAATAGTTGAAGAGACACGAGCCTTAACAGGCACGGACAGAGATTCAAGAAAACAGGAAGGAACGGTTACTCAGACGTCTTGGTAATTTGAAGAGACATCGGAGGAATGAACCTAGATAGCAAAAAGTACAGATACATATTATCCGTAATTAATGAGCGTCAATGATGGAAACGTTACAGAATCTTCACGAAACAATTACGATTGCTAATTATAACGTTGTATTAATGACATTAATTACTCATAATGACTCTGTTATGAGAGGAAAGAAACGTATTACTTAGATATAACTATAAAAGGAGAGGAATAAACATTTGTAAGGACACAGAATATTATTGGAATACACTGATTTACTTTGCTTTCTTTTACTCAGCTATCATTTAAATTCTTCTTATTTGTTCCAAATTTGATTATCAGTAACCCGAGTTCTTCTAAAATTTAACTTTGACCGAAATTCCTATTTTCTGGTTAAAGAAATTGTTTCCGTTAACTCGGGCAGTGGAGCAACTCCTAGCGAATCTCGTGATGGAGGGTCAGGTAACCCGGTTAATTCTGATTTACAAAATGTAGTACTAACTTTTCAGAAACAGCTCAAGGAGTAGAGCGACCGCATCGAGCAAATACCTGGAGTGCCGTATGTAATCAAGGGAATAGATATGGACAAATATTCACAACAACCTTGGAAGCCAAGTGCTGCTCCTCTGTCCATTTTGAAGAAATTCAAGATGCCCGATATTCCAAAATATGATGGAACAACTGATCCACGGAATCACGTAACTGCATTCAAAACTGGTGTAAAAGGCAACGACTTGACCAAGAAGGAAATTGAATCAGTATTGGTCAAAAAATTCGGAGGAACACTCACTAAGGGAGCACTAACATGGTATTCTCTTTTACCCGAAGATTCTATAGATTCTTTTGCTGAGCTTGCAGATTCATTTATCAAAGCACACTCGGGAGCTCAAAAAGTTGAAAAAAGAATGGAGAACATTTTTAAAATAAAGCAAGGAGATGCGGAGCTGCTCATGGAGTTCGTAGATAGATTCTAGTGTGATAGGATGATGTTGCCACGTGTACCTGATAACTAGGCAGCTATGGAATTTGCCAGTAATCTAAATGAAAGAAGTTCAAAAGCCACGAGGAGACTCAAGGAAAGTTTACGAGAGTTTCCAGCAATAACTTGGAATGATGTTTATAACAGATATAGCACAAAGCTACGGATAGAAGAAGATACCATCATTCAATCTCGAAGGGATGAAAGGGTAAGTTCAAGGCGAGATGAAACTGAAAAAAGGTCCAGTAAAAACAGGTACGAACCTTACATGGGACTAGTAGGAAGAGATTCGCGTTCAAAACAGGAAAACCCAAGGTACGATCATAGATCAAGAGATAGAGAGTTAGGTTTATCATCAAGGTTCGGAAAAGAACGAAACTCGCGAGAGACACGAGATGATGACAAAAGCTTTGGTGCGAGTTTCACAACGATCACGGTCACAAAACGACGGATTGTAGATTGCTGCAAGGTGAAGTTGAACATTTATTAAAACAAGGGTATTTAACCGAATTGTTTAGTGAAAAGGGAAAGGAAGCATATATGAAGAATAGGCAGGAGCTTCCAAAACCCCCTTCACCAGAAAGAACGGTTAATGTCATAAGTGGAGGAGAAGAGATAAATGGCGTAACATATACGACAGCAAAGAAAGTATCAAAAATAACAGTTACACATGGGAAGCGAGTCCGACAAGTTTTGGAAGAAGATAGTATTACATTTGATGATCAGATGCAGATGGCGTGCTAACCCCACATAATGACGCACTGGTAATATCTTTACTTGTACATGACACTAATGTAACACGAGTTTTGATTGATCCAGGTAGTTCCGAGAATATCATTCTGTTAAGAGTGGTAAACGAGATGCAAGCTGATGATAAGCTGGTACCCAAGGCACACACCTTGTCTGGTTTTGACAGCTCGAGCATCGTAACAAAAGGGGAGATAATACTCACCACATTCGCAGAAGGAGTGGTCAAAGATACGAAAAATCAGGTAGTAGAAATGGATATGGCCTACAATATGATTCTCGGCAGACCGTGGATTCATGAAATGGTCGCTGTTCTATCTACCTTACATCAAGTTATCAAATTTCCATCACAATGGGGGATACGACAAATCTGTGGTGACCAACAAGCTTCACGAAGCATTAATTCCGTGGTAGACTCAAATGCAGAAAGTGACGAAAAATAGCAATCACAAAATATAGTTGAGGACACATCAACACGAACCTCAACTGAAGATGGGCAAACAGATGTAGATTCGAGGCCCGATACTATTCAGGAACCAGAGGAAAATGAGAATATCAAAACAACGATCGAAGGACTGGAGGCTGTAGAGCTATTTGAACATTGGCCAGACAGAAAAGTCTACATTGGAATTAACCTCAGCCCGGAAATGAAATGTAAGTTGATTGAATTTTTAAAAGCTAACGCAGATTGTTTTGCTTGGTCCCATTCTGATATGACAGGTATACCACCCGAGGTAATGACCCACAAATTAAATGAAGATCCATCGTACCCACCTGTCAAACAAAAGAAAAGGAAGCAAGGCTCCTTCAAGAACCAGGTGATTCAAGATGAAGTGCAAAAACTTTTAAAAATTGGGTCTATCCGCGAGGTAAAGTATCCAGATTGGTTAGCTAATACTGTTATAGTACCTAAAAAGAATGGTAAGTGGCGAGTTTGTATAGATTATACTGATCTAAATAAAGCTTTCCCTAAAGATTCTTTTCCATTACCGCACATAGATCAACTAATTGATGCTACTGCAGGGCATGACTTGTTAAGTTTTTTAGATGCCTATTCAGGATATAATCATATTAAAATGGATCCTCTAGATGAAGAAAAGACTTCCTTCATCACAGACAGGGGGACTTACTGTTACAAAGTAATTCCATTCGGACTCAAAAATGCTGGGGCCACATATCAAAGACTGGTGACCAAAATGTTTCAAGAATACCTATAATATATATATATATAATATATATATATATATATATATATATATATATATATATATATATATATATATATATATATTATATAATGTACCCATTTATCTCTTCTCCTTTACAAACACACATAACCTTAAACCTTAAGAAAACCATTTCCATGGCATAATTGATTTTGGTTGATTTCGAGGTCCTTTACATTGTGTCTGTTAAATTTAGATTTTAACAAGGATTTGGTCAGTTTCTTTTTTGCAATCTGAAGAGGCTTCAGTTTATTGCAACTCTTTTCTTTTTTCTTTTATTTACTTGGTAGAATTACTCTCTCAAAGGCATGGTTTTGAGATAGTTAAAAGTGCAGATTCAATATTTAAATTTGGATTTTAAGTCCTCGGCTCCTTCATTTCCAATAATGTGTTTAAATTTTTTAAAATTCATGGCGCAAGGAAAAGCAGCTTAAATTGTAAGTGCCCCGAATTAGGGAATTTTAGAATAAGGAATTTTGATTACGTTTCTTTTTTGTTTTTTTCAGAGAATTAGGTTATTAGGAGGAAGAAATATATTTTTTTTTCCGCTGAAAAAAAATGGACTTAGGCAAATTGTGGGAAAAGATTGGTATAGGCACATTGTTAAAAGATATAACCTTTTTTTTTTTTTTTTTTTTTTTTTTTTTTTTTTTTTTTTTTTTTTAGAGAACAAACAAATAGAAAGGACGAAAAACCTTTATGGAAGAGATAAGACAATCTCCAAATTATTTTTCGGACTAATACATATTTAGGTACTTACCGTCGATTTTTTTTACTTTTCGATTTCCTTAATGAATTACAGTTTATTTCCCCCTTTATAATAGTGATCCTTATAGTTTTAACACCCATTTATGATTCTATTTATGGTTTTCAAACTTTTCAACCTTCCTCCATAACTATTACTTTACTTAATATTCTTATATTGCATTTATGTTGGCTTCCTTAAACTTTACAATGCTGGCTTTTTCTTTAATTGCTCTTCATTTGTAACCTTATTTACATAATATAAAACAGAAGTAATGTTGCGAACACGCCCTTTCAAATCAAAGTTTTTGTTTATCCTATTGCCTTGAGTTTCTCCTTTTTTTGAAAAAAAAAGTCCAAAAACATGCACTTCTTTTTCATGGAAAATTGGAAGCGGCCAAAACAGCCGCTACACTAATTGTGCAATCTCTTTTTTTTTTTTTTGGAACCCTAGGAAACCGCAGCCGCTACAAAGCCTTCTGCCCTTCGGGTGAGCACTCTCTGGCGACTGGGTAACTCCACTGTAGTAATAGCCTGCAAACCAACAAGGGGGATGTAAAAACCGCACTAGGCAAACCCCGTGCGACAGGCTCAGACCCAGAAGGCATTGAGGGGAATCGAATCCGCGTCTCCCGGCGGAAAACTCCGCCAAACCCCACTGGGGCCCGTGCCCTTCAGGACAATTGGTGCAATCTCAATAATGTATTTTGTTAAATCTTCTACTGTGTGCATATTAATGATGGTCATAAGGAAATATGTATTGATGTGGTGCTTCTAACAGTGTAAAACTTCTATTGTCTATTTCCTCCTTTGTATGTTCACTTACTTTCATTCTTCCCTTTTTCTTGCTAGTTTTTCCCTTCATGTTTTTGTTCACGCTGTAATTTACAAGTAGCCCAAGCCACACCATATTTGGGTCTAGATGAAATTTAAAATCAACAAAATGGGAAGGAAAATATTCGCAAAGTCAATTCAATTTCATAGTCACCATAACAATTTGATTACGGTTGTTATAGAGCGTGAAAGAGGACAAATAACTGATCTTTATTGGAGGAAATTAATACCAAGATGAATTCTTACAATTAAAATTTAAGAGATTACGTAGATTCTTTAGCTAATTTGATGAAATAAAAAATTTGTAGCTGAAGTTTAGATGTCGGTAATGTTTAACGAGAAAAATAAGGGAATTTCGGTCAAGTAAATTTTAGAAGAACTCGGGTTACTGATAATCCATTTGGAACAAATAAGAGAATATTTAAATGATAGCTGGTAAAAGAAACAAAGTAAATCAGTTATTCCAATAATATTCTGTGTCCTACAATATTTATTCCTCTTCTTTTATAGTATATCTAAGTAATACGTTTCTTTCCTTCTCATAACAGAGTCATTATGAGTAATTAATGTCATTAATTCAACGTTATAATTAGCAATCGTAAGTTTTCGTAAAGATTCTGTAACGTTTCCATCATTGACGCTCATTAATTACGGATAATAGTATCTGTACTTTTTGCTATCTAGGTTCATTCCTCCGATGTCTCTTCAAATTACCAAGACGTCTGAGTAACCGTTCCTTCCTGTTTCTTTGAATATTCTGCCGTGCCTGTTAAGGCTCGTGTCTCTTCAACTATTCTTTGCAGTGTCATTCTTTTATTGATCCAGTGTCTTGACATGTCAACACATAATTAATTCCATATGTTAACTTGATTTTTTCCAATACAGATAGTCCCCCCACTTGCCATTTTATTCAACAATTGAATATTTGAAAAGTTGGATCTCATTAAAGCGGGAATTTTTGCCCCCATTATACCTTCTCCAAAACTAATGCTTCGCATTTGTCACTTCCATTTTAAATTGCTCGTGGCACGTTGGCGTCTTTGATGGGTTCTACAACCCTTCAGCGTCTTTTTAAGGCTTTGCGGCTACATCAATCACGACAGTGACAGGTTTTCCATTATGACGTTTCCCATTTATTACCTTCTTTGTTGACGGTTGCTTCTGAGTATACATATATCCTTTGTTTCTTTTCTTTCATAAAAAAGTTTTCCGTCTTTGACTTATTCAATCTTCTTCTTCTCCGTGTAGCTATGTCTTCTTCAAACCCTGATTCTTCGTAAAGTTCTTATGTAGATGAAACTTTTCTCTTGCTCCAACTAGGAGCAGGAGAGGAGGTAGGTTACGTAGTTTTTAGGATTCAACGTTCCATTCGAAGGTTCGCCTTACATTCTTTACCTAGTTTACTCCTCCTTTCTTCTTTCTAGAACTAGGGGGTTCTCTTCCACATAGATCTTTCTTACCAGAAAGTAGGGATTTCTAATGACAGTCCGTTAACCAACAGTAGACAAATATCCCCTCTGAACTTTCTTTATACTGATAGAGAATTAATTAGGACAGGTTTCTTCTTGTCCTCTCTTGATCGTGGTTGACGTTTACCCTTCTCAGATTACTTTTGAAGGTTTGAATCTCTGTTGTTTCGTAGAGATTGCCACTGGAAATTTTGATTTCCCAATTATAATTCCCTAATGCAATCAAAGGATCACGGTCTTACAAGGCTGGCTTTGTCTATTCGGGGCATTACATTTCCCTTTTACACTGGATTTTAGGGACCACCCATTGATTCCTGTTAATCATCGAGTTATGTCGTTTTTTCAATGTTGTTTAGGGACAAATTTGGGCCCCATTTTGTGTGGAGGGTTGTTGCTTGTCTAAGGTACTTAGCTAACCTTGGCTCCAATTGCCTTTTACTTTTTTTTTTCATTCTGATCCACCTCTACTCCCTTAAAAGCCGTTCCGACATGGAATCTTTACTTTTGGTGGGCGAGGAAGTAAGAGGGTTTTAGTTCAGGCCCTAAGATGACAAAGACCGTGGCTGGTATGCCAGATTTGTTGTTGCTTCCTACTGTAGAGTTAGTAGGTGTAAGAAATTACATTCCCTTGAAAAGTGGAATTTTGACGAAGTTTTACTTTTACAAACTTTCTCTCTTCTCTTTTCCCCCTTTTTTTGTTTCGAAAGGGTTTTGTTTTTCCGTGACTGTTTAACTTTCTCTTTTTTCAGCAAACATTGGGAAACTATTGAAGAGATTTTCCCAATTTCCGTGGTTGGGGTAGAGAAATTGTTGACTTGTTGCTCCGATTGTAGGTGGATCTTGAAATACCTTCAAACAGGTTTGGGTTAGAAGGTTAAAAACTTCATGGTAAATACTTACCTCTTTTTTTTCCATATTTCGTTCATTCTTCCTTTTAGAATGTATTTGACCCTTCTTATTATTCAGGGTTTCCTATTCGTGGTTGTAAGTGCTGAATCGATTGCAGCTTCCAGACTTTCTTTGGCAAGAGCTTCAGGGAGGATAATCCTGAGTTTCATCGAAAAGGAAAGCTGAAACAAACCCCAAGATTTGAAGAGGAGAGGAACGGGATAGAGTTCCTTTGGTTTTAAAAGGGCCGCGGGTTAGAAGGTGCGCGTTATTTTCAAGATG